CTCTGTGAATATGGAAAACATTTCCTAATGAAATTTTTGTATAAATAGAGAGAGAGAGAGATTTACATAGTTACCCATATTTTTGATTAAATCAATATTGAAATAATTATGAGAGTAAATTTAAGCCTGCATTTATAAGTTTCTCAAACAAAAAAATATTGTTTCAAAATCAATAAAAATAACATATTTTATTTGAAGTTTAGAGATAGATGTAGAATATTGTAACTTTATTTCTTTTTATTATAAAATCATAAGTATTAAAGCATGTGACAAAAATAACAATGTGCTAATACATGTTGATGAGAAACATTCTATTTTTAGAATTATGGTATTGCTCATTAAAAATACAAATGTTGTGACAGATACATATTGTTGACCGAGTGATATTAAATATAGGTTTGCGAAATGGTAATTAATACATTTCGAGGTTCACAATTGCAACTCGTGGTAATGAGAATATTATGCTAGTCCCACGAAGCCAAAGCACGCGATAATTCCTCGGCTATTCGGAATTCCTCGGCTGGGAAAACGTGTCAATGACTCCGCCTGAGATCCGGGAACATAAAGAGCGCAATAAAAGGGTGTAAACTTGTTGTCGCCGGGAATGAAATTATTTTTAATCCAGTTCATTCCAACATGTGAGGAGAGAGAAGCGTTTGCGGACGCTGAAGATGAGATGGGTCATTCCTGAGGAACGCCCGAGGAGACCAGACCATCTTCCGAGGCGAAGTTTAATGACGCAATAAAAATCTGAAGGTCGTTAGGAGCGGCTGAGCTTTATATTTTTTCCGGTAATACGCCCGCGCACGCGATTCTAAAATTGTCGTGACAAATATGAAAGATGAACTCATCTGCACGATGTAATCTATGATTTAATTGATTAGAAATTTATTTTTACAAGTCTTATCTTTGCGAACTGACTAATAGGATTGTTAAATATTTTTTATAATTTTCGTTTTGAAGATGCTCATTTTATATGTCGATTGATAACAGCTCGAAGGAAGTCAAATGAGATGAATTTATGATCTTGTTACAAATTTTCTTATAAATGCAACATTCTTTTTATTATTGCACATGAAATATAAATAATATTGCTATCAATAATTATATTTATTATGCTAAAGATATTAAAATAGGGGTATGATTTGGTTTCTTTTAATAATGATATAACTTAAGAATATTAATGATAATTACTTTTTAATTTATTCGTTCTAAAGATATCGAATATAATAAAATGTGGAAAAAATATTTTGTATATGTCACTTAATAATTTTTCATGCAAAATGAGATAATCAAGCTGTATTACGCCATGACATTTTCTTGAGCGTTAAGCGATGCGTTACGAAGATAAGTACAAGAGCGATTTAGCAGATGGCGGAGCGCAGGTGACGTTGCGTTAAGTTACTCTTAAGATCATGGCTAAATAATTATTACTGGCAGGAGGATGGATCTCCGCGCCTAATTTGATGACGAAGATTCACCTGTTTGACGTAAGGCTTGCCATGTGGAACTCGTTATGCGGATTACTCGTCTAATCAACAAAATGTGGGGACGAAAAAAATTATAAATTATTTTTATAACAACAGTCATTTATATATTAACATATTTTTTCTATTGATAAATTCTTATTAATATGATCCATATAAAACAGGAAATATATAAAAAAGAACCATTGAGAGAATGGTGAGATATATATACGAAACGTAGCAAATATATTTCGAAGTAATAAAATAATAATAGAATCCTATTAACACATAAAACAATTAGATAATAAATTAAAACATAGTTTGATTTACTTTGGCTTTAATTTGCTGTTATTTTAAAAATAGACGCTTTAATCAAGAATTACTTATATATTTTATAAGTAATTAAATTGCGTATACAAACATGATTTACGGTAAAACATAAATTTTCTCGATCTCGAATGAATTAATTAATAATTTATAACGCGTCTTTGTCCTATCATGCTTCACCAAGTTAAGGATCGCATTCGGTATCGTCTTGCTAACAGCGGGTTCGCGTGTAAATTCCTTTGCCACTTTTTGCTAGATAACGAGACAAACTTTCCGCGATAAAAGCACTTTCTTGCCGAGCGTCGCCGCGATATTACTTTTCACGAGTATGCCGGGCGTTGTTAGACGACATACTCTAGGGATGCATTTATCTTGCGAAGTCCTTAGGTACTTCAAGTACCTCGATGTGCCATTGGTACCAAAAGTAGGATGAAATTTCACAGTAGCTATGTATCCCACTATTCATCGATACGAGGTCTATCGATGTTACTCTATATTTCATGTCTTCATTGTACTTCTATGAAAAATATCTATTCCTGAAATAAAGATATGAAACAATAGATATTTTTATTCTTGATATTTTTTAAATGTTTAAAAAAATGATAGATTTTATTATTCATTAAATATTAATAAGATTATAATTGATTTACACACAAATAGAGCTTCTTAAATAATATCTACAAAATTTTGTTTAACTTTTATCATAGTTTTGCATAGTTTTGATATTTTTGAATAAAAGACACTAGAGATAAAAGAAAATATAAATAAATGAGAAGGAGATAAAATCATATAGAAATTGAGATTCTACTAATCTAATTTTGGATTGTGCTGAATATGAACCAAAACGTAGTTAGACGATGGATTGTAGTCTCGGATTGCATTGTCAGATGGGATGGGGAATACGAAACTTCCGTGTGATATGGTAATTGCAATCCCATATTACACGAAAATTCGAATCCCTCGATTCGATCTCACATTGCACTTCGACTACGATCTATCGATTCATTGGTTTTGAAAAGACACGAGTCGCAGAATTATAGCTCGATGGAGAGATTAATCTAAAAATTTCTAAAAATCCAATAATATATTGTATATTAATATAAATATGTATTATAGGTAACATTCATATGTAGAGAGAATTTATTTTCTCTTTTCTAACATAATACATTTTTTACAATAAATAATTAATAGTAAGAAATATTTATTTTATAGATCTTTTATATGCAAATGCTCTCTACACTCTTCCTCTCTTTTATATGTAGATATAATTATAAATATAGTTTAAAAGACTATAACGTAATATTTTGATAATTCATTATTAATTCTACTTTTTTACTTATTTTATTATTAGATACGTAGCTTTACGATTTTTTGAATATAGTCGGATTATCCGTTTGGAAAACAATTGTTCTGTCTGCCATTGAGATGATCTGTAGCGAATAAAATTGACTAAAAAATATTTCACTATGATGAGCGAATACTTTGAGGCTGGCAAATTACGGAAGCGGTTAAAGCATGGTCCTTTTCAAGGCGACGTCGCTATCATATTGCGCGGCAGTGTGACCAAATGTAATATCACGCTCTTCCACGAGAGCCAAGACTCAACGTCATGCCTATCCACTCTCGAAATCTCGTACCAAACAGTTTTTCTACCGCGTTACAATGAGTTTATCGCCGCGAACACGCTTGAACGATCCGTGGTCGCGCTTTTTGACCCTTTCACGTTTAATGAGTTGCATATTTTGCTTCATAAAAACCACCAACCAAATCGATCAACATTTTCTCAATGATGAAATTGATGATAATATTGTACGCAAGTGATATTTTATAATACAAGTAATATTATGATAATGTACAATAATGATAACATTTATATGAATAATGTATTGTTCGTAAAAAATATTCAGATATACCGCATTTGGATTTACAGTAAAATATGCAACATTAATTACGTTTTAAAAATTAATGAATTAGATTAAATGTGTAATAATCGACGCAAAAAAAGCAAATATGCTTAGATCTATAAAATTTTTTCGCATTATTATTATTTAATATATTTCTTTTTAAAATTATTAAAGATAGAAAACTAGAGATAGGATTTTATAATCAAGATGTAAATTTATCTTATTGAAATATGAATACTTTTGAAACGAAAATTAATTTAATATTTAATTAAATTACTAATTATTAATTTAATTAAATAAACAATTATTACGTAAAAATGTATCTATGTAGTTTATGTGTACGTATATTTTTTTCTATTAATTATTTTATTTTTAATTTTGTAAAAAAAAAGATTGTCATTATATGTTTTTAATATCTACATATATAAGTTCTTTATTGGAAATCAAAAGATAGAAAAGATGATAAAAAATAAATGTGAAATATATATTTGCAATATAAAACGCAATCGCCTTATTATCTCGCGAATAAATCGAGCGACACATTTGTCATTATTATCAAACGAAATGTAGTTGCGACAAGTTGTTAATACTAAACACAATCATTAATACTAATAATAATGCAAATACTAAACATAATCATTAATAATAATCAATAAATCATCAATAAATAAATAAATAATAACATTGATTTGTCGCAAAATTCTTTACATACATATACATATATATGTATCTGAAATGTATTGTGTGTACATAAACAATACTAAATATCGATTATGTATTTTTGAACGAAAATTTCCTTCGAGTTTTAATTAATTATTAATATTAAATTATGTACTAGTATTAAATATCGAGTTTTAATTAATTATTAATATTAAATTATGTACTAGTATTAAATATCGCGCGCGCTACCAGAGTGAAACTGCTGCTGTTTGTAGCATATAGCGCCACTTTCTGGTTACCGGCAAGTCGCGAGCCGCGAGTACCGCCAGGCAGTTCGAGCTGCGTCTCGCTGTGATTAATTTGTAAGGATAATCGTTTCTAACCTTTGTATTGTAATATTTATCAATCGTATATTATAATTTCAATGTTCATATATAGTCGTAATTGGTTGAAACATATAGTTCGCGAGAAATTCGATGCGAAACCTGCGATAGCGGTCAACCTAATCCAACCTAACCCGATCTGTTTTCGTGCGCGCGAATGTGGATATATATCGTTAATTTTAGCTTATATATTTATATCATATATGTTATAATACGAAATAAGATTGTTCTAATATATGTATGTATTTTATTTGTTACAGATAGCATTGCTGATAAGCGACGCGCGAGTGTGACTGCGAGAGATTCTCGACGTTGCTTCGTGCGGTTGTAGTTTTCGCATCGTTTTTTTTTCATTGCGCAATGTACGCGAAATACGCGTTGTATCGGGAGTGCCGTGCAAAGTGCCGCGCGTCGGGAGTGTCGTATAAAATTTCGCGTGTCGGGAGTGTCGTGTAAAGTGTCGGGCGATCGTAATTATTCGTGTTTTCGCGAGTGTCGTGGGTGCTTCCAAAGACGAGGAGAGGAGGAGGAGGCCTGAGGAGGCATCGGGTGACAGCGGGGCAACTATAAGGTATGCATGCATATAGATACAATTTATAACATACTTATACTTAATTTATTAATTCATTAATTATATGTATGCATTTTGTTTATTATTACAGGTAAGATTGCTGCGCGCGAGTTTGCAAGATTTTTGCATTATTTTTCCTTATTAGGTGGTGTACGCGAAATATGCGTGCGATTCACGCATCGGGAGTGTCGTCCAAATAAATGTCGGGCGATCGAAATTATCCGTGTTTTTCGCGAATATCGTAAGTGTTACGGAAAAGCAATGTCGGTCGCGCGAGATTGACTACGAAAGATTCTCGGCGTTGCTTCGTGCGATTGTAGTTCTCGCATCGTTTCTTCTCATTGCGCAATGTACGCGAAATACGCGTGCGGTTCACGCGTCGTGTCGGGAGTGCCGTGTAAAGTGTTGGGAATCGGCGATCGACCAAGAGAGGAGGACAGGCCAGAGGAGGTATATCGAGCGATAACGAGTTAACTGTGAGGTATGCATAAAAATATAATTTATAACATATTCATTTTTTAAAATTGCTACTGATAAAATTACTTGCTTTATCTCTGCGGAATTTATTTTACATTATATATACTAGTTTTATGTATATAGAATATTTCAGAAATTTTATTTAAAAATCCTCTCTTAAAATATTTAAAAATATTTGCGAAAAAAATTTGCGTGTATTAATTACCTTTAAATAATTATTATACATTAGTAGACATTTCCCTTTATATATACATATATATATAAATTTAAACATTTTGTTTTCAGATCAACATGCTGCACACTTCAACTCTGCTGTTGCACGTGGGGACATCGGTGAGTGAGAGAAAGTATCTTTAAAAAAATTTTTATCGCGGTAACGAGTGAATTTGCACAAATAATAATTATATAAAATTATAATAAATTTTAATTGTCTCTTCTTTTTAATAAAATGTTAGATAAAATACTTTGCGATAAAAAACTTTGTGGATTATATTGATTGTTTCTTCGAATGTGTTGAGAACAAGTGAGCAAGTCACTCGTTACCGCTTCTGTTGATCGTTTTATGAGATTTTTATGATAGTTACGCGCGCGTGTCGCGCAAACCACGCTTCCGTGTGAGATCACGATTCTCCTCGCGGTATATTTCGTTCGCGGTTTCCGCCGTCGGTGGCGATTTAAGAGGGCTACCGCGCGGTAGAGCACTGGTTGCTTTGCGGTTACAGCTGACTTCATTCTCGCGGTGCGTAAACGACCGCACGAAGAACGTAGAGTGCGACCGATGTTTGCGGTGTATCCTATCACCAGTAGGGACGTTCCAAAATATCAAGTTACTATTTTTATTCACAGTGAAAGAGTGTGCTTCTATCAGTCGATACTTTGTTCGAAAATAGAGCATCAGAGAAATAATTTAGATAAAAGAAATTTTTAGACACTTTAATACGTGGATACACGTGAAATAAAATTAATTAATAAAAAAACTATCGAAAATTTATTAATCTTTTTAAAGAAAAGTTTCCTTGGAAGATTTTAATTTGAAAAATATAGTAGACAATTGTCAAATTTTTTAAATTATATTTTATTATTATATATTATATTAATCGTCTAGAAAATGCGTTTCTTTTTCAAAATAATTACTATACGTAATAATCGTATGAGAGTATTTCGCTCGATTTCGTGTCCTCTTTAAAACATAATACTAGCATATGGATGTTCTTGCGATAGAAGGGAACAAAGGATGTAGGGAACGGAAGTAGAGAAGTTCCGAGGGCGGAGAGGGTGAGGATTATGGCGAAACGTGTAGAGAAGTGGAATCTCTGAGGTGGATCATGTTCTTTCTTTCCGCTTCGATCTTACGAGCTATTCGTGGAACGGCTAATTAATGACGCGCCGGTCTGTAGTTTACAAGGGTGTGAAGATTAATTTGTTATGGTCGGTTGTGCTTCCTTCGTATATGAAACAGTTGATTCTCTGATTGATCTCGGTCATAATGTTGCAGCTAGCTAGAGGATCGGTCCATTTGTGTAACTTGCAATGTATTATAATATATAATTAAAAATTGTCTTTTCTCATAATTATATACATATTAATCTATATATTGATAATTTTTTTAAAAAATTGCATTTTTTAAGTATATTAAAATATTAATTTAACTTGATAATTGTGATTTATATTCTCTAAATATTCTCAGATAAATAAATATTGAAAGCATTTTTTTACACTTATGATTAATTGTGTCACATTAAAAAAATGTTTAATTACTACGTCTTTAAATTAAAAAAATATTTTTTTATTAAATGTTAAATTTTGTAGGCCAATTTTTATTATTTTTTTGATACTTTATGAAACATTTCCTCTAATATCAGATTTTGTTACAATAATAATTAAAGCTTAAAATAGATGCATTTACGAATATCAAATTTGTTGAAGCTTCGATACACTAGCAACTAAATCCCAAGTGGTCGAAGTATCGTGCAATCTGATCCTGGGCACGTATGCAGAGCCTGAGATATAGTTTAGGGCGTATAATAGCGTGAGTAACGTCGAAACTCTCGTAAGGTGCGTTACGGGATAACCCTCGAGAGCTGGCCGAAAGGCTAGCAAAAACGAAACAGCTCGGAGATAGGTAGGGCCCTTACCCGCGTGCGTGATTAGATAGGGATTCCTGACTCGCTCGGTTTCTTGGCGCATTCTTACGCAGCCGTAGCGATAATCGATTGGCCACAAGCCGTCATGGAGGCGAAGGGAATCGATGACCTTCGGGCAACAGAATCCGCGGCCGCTTCTTTTCCACGTTTAGGATCCTATCCCGTTGTCTATATTTTCCGTACGCTATTAATTCGTCGTGCGGCGTGTCCGCCTCGCCGATGTAAACTCATTTATACCTTGTAGCTTAACGGAAATATCGATGGACTCGCAAGATTGCTGACCCAACCAGTTATATAATAATTTAGATATATTATATTGTATAATAACTTGTTTTATATAGTATAGATTTATCTAAAATTATATCTTATCTGATTAGGTTCCTTCTCTCTTGAATTCGTATGTACTAACTTGAATTAATTGGATATGAACATCAGTAATATTTCTTACATTATACACAGGGAGAATTTTATTCTCTTAGAATTTACCCTGAAAATCTCTGATTAATATTTACACATTACAAAAGTATTTAATATCCATAATAAGATATAAAATATGTTCGATTAATTTTATTATGTACATTTTTTATTGTGATAAATATTAATCAGAAAACTCTATAAAATTCTTCTAATTCTTCCACATTGTCCCACGATTATCATGCTTTTCAGGATAAACTCTAAGAAACAATTCTCTCCGTGTAAAAATCACAAATTAAAATACCTTCAAAAATGAAAAATATTTTTAACGAGGAAAGAAACACAATTCCCATATCTCTAATTTGATCTCAAATCCGCTACTCTGTACCAAATTAAAGACTCAGCCAAGACGAAATTTCCAAGAGAATTTCGAGAGAATATTGCGTATACATTACTCTGTCTCTCGGGGTTAAAGGTTGGACGGAAACGGTCCTCGACGTTAAATTGCCCGTACGGTCGGTGAACCGGGGAATGAGTTTGACGTGATCGCGGCTCCGAAGGGGATCATGTACCTGGTGACGACCGAATGTCACCGGTGACATGACAAAGAGGTGGAAGACGTACGGTATCGCGCGGTGATTATTTCTCATTTTGCCGCGCAGCGTGCGGTCTCTGCGGATCGCGCGATCTTACGCTAGGATCGTCCGCGTATCTATATAGACGAAGAGTCGGCCGGCGCCGCTAATGATCGTAATGGGCACGTTGTATTATAACGTGAACGAGACGAGGTCCGTTTCTTGGTCGGAGGGCTCTTGCTCCTAGCAGCCGAGAATGGACCAAGGTAATGGCGAGATATTAATAGTGGTGTATCGTGAGGCTGACCGCGGCGATATTGCAAAGAATCGCGCCTAATACTCCAAGATTGCCGTTTCATCGATATGGTCGCGTAGGCCCTAAACGCCGAGGTCGAGCTTTTATATATATTTCCGTCTAGTTTTACCGGTATTTCTCATCTCGAGACTTATCTCATCTTTGGTCGTTCTCCCGGCACAATAAACATACTAGTTATGTGTTCCCTCTTTAAATTCTTAAATATGATTTAATAAACGTAAAAATGTGCTAACTTATGTTAACACATCTCTTATTTTAGAAATTGAAATTTTTTTGTATGTATCATCGATAATCTGTGTAGATGTTTTCTTTGCACATCTTATAACATAATGATGAAATATATACTTTGTATTTAGAGAGAGGCAGAGTATGAGAGAGAAAGAGACTTGAATGATGTTTAATATTGGATATTCGCGATAATATGAGGATAAGCGAACATATCGATATAAAGAATTGAAGAACATAACTCATGACATTGGCAGAACAGCGATTTCTTGACTGCGTCGTAGATCTATCATGGAGATACTTGAAATCACCCGTGATAAATCGCCGCTATGTGTCGAGAAAAATGAATATTCAGTTGAAAAGTCGAGGTTTCGAAAACGGAAACGTATATGATTAATTGTCAAATTTAACTCGTCATCGATTGCATGAGAAAATCGCGTAAGATAATTTCGATAATCCATTTACATTCCATTCTCTCGCAATACGATAAGATCGATCACTCGCGTAAAAAGCGACGCGTCGCATTTGAAAGAGCATATTTTTTTCCGCGCTAATATCTTCGGGAAAATGCAGAGGACGACATGTATATTTATCGATCATCTCGTCGAAGACAATGATATTTAACGGCTCGTCGATTTCCACGGAAACGTCGGCGCGGTAGGTAATAAATTTTAACGCGTGTAATGCGGGAATTAATGCGGGATTGTTTCCGCGTATCGGCAGAGAGAGAGAGAGAGAGAGAGAAAGGGACATAGTCGTGATTCTCGTACGATAAACTCGCGTTTTAAGTGCGCGTTTAACGTCCGAAGTTACGACGTCGCCGCGCGCGCGAATTGTTGGATCGAATTAAATTAATTCGTACGATCGTGCTGTCAGCCGAAACACGCGAATTGGTGGTGAGAGCTCTTCTTTATGCCATCGTCGTTGTCGCCGTCGTCGTCGATCAAAATTTCGCGCTCTCATTCTCTCCTCCGCCAATTAAACTTTGTCGCCTTTGTAGGTGGTCACTCTTTACCGCGGTGCAATTAACCGTTTTTATGTACGTATTATTCATTAAATATTGCTAATTCGAACGTGCCCGGACAATACCTGCCCGATAACGTCGTCGAAAATTGCCGGCTTATTTACGCGAGAAATTCCGCACAATAATGTATGAATTGATTGAAACGTCAGCATGGGTGATATTTTGTACATATAAAAAAGATTATTATTAAGAAATATTCTGTCTTATTATCCAATATTTAACAATGCATAATTTCGAATACAGGATCGCGAATTAATTTAATTAGCTGACGATTTTTTAGCTAAAAATCTCAAGAACGATTATACTCACTGTTATATTATCGATTATCAAACATTGATTTCTTCTTGCACTTTTCATCTTATCTATATTAACATTAAATTTTATTCTTTTATTTTTCCCTTTTTATTCTTATACATCTCACATTGTGCTTTGGTCTTTTGACAAATATCTCAACTATAACGCACTCGACGTGCAGCGACCCGTTGTTATCCTCCTCTTATCCGGCCTGGATGCGGCCGATAAATAACACAGTCTACTCCTTTTTTTTTACACGAATTCTCTCACGATCCCGCGGTCGCTCGCTAGGAGCATTAAACAACATCGCGTATCTCGGTTACTTCATCGCACGTGTCTTCTT